CCCTTTTTTGTACCTGCCATTCTCTCCACCCATCCCTAATTTGCACAAATATGAACTGCCTTCCTGATCCCTCTTCACCTACTGTAATCCTACCCAGGATTCAAGGTCAAGTTCAAAATTTGTCTTGCATTCTATCTCTGTAAGACCTTCCGGGGTTACTCCTCTGTGTCAACGGCTGGTGAAACACCCCAAGACTGTGAGGATGGTCTCATCGCCCCTCCCCAAGACACCCTTCCTAATCACCTAGCACCTCTGACCTCCCATCATGAACAATGCAAGGCTCCACGTTCTATCTGTATTACTGGTTTTCCTTCTCAGGTGCTCCCTTGGGGGCCACTTCAGTCAGCTTAGGGAGACCTAAGTTATGGGGGAAGGAAGACATGTGGTAAGGAAAATGAATTTTAATACCAATGACACCATGCCATTGGAAGGCTTCATCAAAAAGCATAAACGAAAAGCAACCCCTAGGGGATGGACTGACAGAGGATATACAAAGCTTTCTGGATTCTATGCTCGTATAGACTGAATACTAAGATCGAGACTTCTGCTGGCATCCTTAAAGGGCGAGGACTTCCACAGGTATCTCCATTCAGTCCCAATGGAATAGGAAAAAGACTGTCTATAGCCTTAGACTGGATACTATTTTATTTCCCTGAGAATAGGCCCCAAAATAAATAAACTAGTGATGCACATCAAGAGAAAAATGTCTGGCCCGGTTGCACATAGCAACCTTCCCTGAAGAGCTGCCTCAGTGGTTCCTGTGGAGCTGCCGGGGCACATCCAGCACATGAATGCTAAGTTCCCAGCATCCTTTGCAGTTCTCACACAAGAGACTTGAGCTTCCCATCTACCTCACAATAAATAAAGCTAATTATACCCACAGTGTTCACTGCATAGGATACACAACAAAATGGGCACAGTCACAAATGTGAGCAACAACTTTGCAGCTGGTGGACAAAACTAGCCACTAAAATAAGCGAATGCCGGATCCCATCGTTCATATCAGTTGCATCAAACTTTTCTAAGGGACTCTTAAGTTGGAGCAACTGCACACATTAGTAATGTACTTATGAAAGCTTACTGACTTAGGATGGAAATACTTTATACCTGTCACTGGCCCTTTCATTTGCATGCAATCATTTACTTCCCAAACAATACTAGCAACAAATTGCACCAAAATGCAAAGCTATCTACACCAGAAGATTTGTATCCTAATGAGAAACATAAGCAAAAATGTATGTAATGAAATCACGTATAAAGCTACACTTATTAACAAATTCATTTCCTAATAAAATACCATCTGCAAGTACCCTCAGTTTCCATTTGATATAAATAGGTCTTTTACTGTTTTCAGATGCAGTTCCCAGAAAATTCTTCTAAGCTCAACTGCAGAACACATTAGCCTTTTTTTTTTTTTTTTTTTTTTGGTTGCCTGGAATGTTAGTAAATTCTGTAAAACGAAGTTTTGAAACAAATTTTGTTCCAGAAGCATGCTTCAGTTGAAAAGCTGACCTTTTGCAATAAAGTTGGTTAGACTTCTAGAACCCTTATTATTTATTCAGAAATTCTAAGAAGCAAGGAAATATGTCGAGGATGGGCCGTAATTAACATTTCCCCACTCCATACACAGGCACAGACAAGTAAGTGAACATGGGCACACACACGTGCTCATACCATTTCAATAATAGCTTGGTGTCTCTCAACTCACAAATATATTAGTATCTGCTTATTTGTGTACCTTAGAATGCAGTCTATTTCCTGGTCATTCAGCCCCTCCCCCCCCCCCAACTGCTCCCAAATGCACTTCACTAACACACAGGTCGACCTCCTCTCACTAGAACCAGGGACAGAGATGAGAATACTCAAAGAGACCCTGTGACTGCTCTCTGGACAAGCCCTTTTAAGTAATAACTCCAAGTAATGCTGCCACTCATCACTGATGGCTACTTTGAGTGGGGACCCAGAACCCAGTGCTTGGACCTCTTGACGCCAGCAACCAGGGCTGAATTCGAACGCTAAGTGCTTTTGAAAAGTGCATCAAGATTTAATAGGGTGAATTTCCAGACTTGGTTGGAGTTTTAGCCACATAAATTCCATTAGGTGCAAAACTCCATAATGCTCCACCCTGTCTATATTTATGCCCACGTTTTAATGTACACCCTTCTAAGCTCCCAGTCAGGCTGTCAGATCTTTCATTTCCTTTCCTTCTGCCCTTGGTTTTTATATTACCCTTGTAGCCAGGATGTTCTCCTGACTTTAGGGCCCTAAGCTTCTGTCTACCCCTCTTTCAAACCCTTCTTTGAGACCTATATTTTAAAATAAGTACTTTAATCACTGATCTCCTATCATGACTCTATTGCACCTGACCCATTTTTCATACAAGGCTCTACCAAAGTCTATTTGTACCGTCACCAAAGGCTGCGTGCATATAGGCTGCTCCTTGGATCATCATCTCCAGAGCTGAAGACAGCTCAGACTCTCTTCGGAAATGTACCTCGCACTGGTGCGCCAGAGCGCTGGGCAAAGTGAAGTAGTTTCTGAATCTGGGTCAGCCATGTTGTGAATGTATAAGAGAGGGGATTATAACGGAGTGAATCTCACTGGGTCTGTGACCCGTCACTCTGCTAATGAGGTATGGACACAGGCTGACAGACCTCTTGATGGGCCAGTACAACTCCCAGACCAGTCCTGAGTGATGGCACCGTTGTGGAAGGAGGGAACAACACCAGATACCAGGGCAAGGGAAGGGGCAAGAATGATATCCCAGCTTCTCATTACACTCCTCTCCGAATGCACGCTTCCTTTTGGGTCTTAAGTATTACAATCCTATGTGAAGTCATCCAGTGGAAATTAGGATTAGGACTTCCCAATGACTGTGCAGGAGAGGAGCAGAGCAGAACAAGACACAGGCGAGTAGGGTACAATTAAAGAGATACAATTAATGATGGATTTTCTAGCAACTGTTTACCTTTGTCCATGTGAGTTGCTTAACATCGTGGCTTAGAAAATGTACTCAGGTGACCAAATATGAAATTCATTCACTCAGCAAACATTTATTAAGTCTCTACCACGTGCCAGGCACTTGCGAGGCGCTCGGGATACAGAGAAGAATGGGACATCCCTTGCTCTCCAGGAGCTCACAGTCTAATAGAGGAGACAGACACATCAACGAGTAGCTACAATACAGGAGATAAGTGCCGGTCAAGGTATACGTAAGGCGCTAGAGGAGTCCAGAGAGAGCAGTCTGTAGTAAAGCCTGGTGAAATCAGGGAGGCTTTCCCAGAGAGAGGAACAACAGAGTAGACCCGAAGGAGGAACAGGACTTCACCAGAAGACAAGGGAGGGTGGGGAAAGGCATTCTAGGCTGAGAGAACAGCAGGCACGAAAGCAAGGAAGCATGATAAAGCATGACATGGCAAGGAACCACAAGCAGCTCCATGTGGCTGGGATTTCATCTGCATATGAAGAGACGGTGACATGTGAAGTCAGAGGAGAAGCATGGAATCAGCATGAAGGGCTTTGTATGCGGGACTAAGAAACTTGGACCTTGTCCAGGAAGCGATGAGAAGGCACCGAAGAATCCAAAGCGGAGGGGTGGCATGGCTACATCTGCCCACTAGGTCAGCCTGAATGGAGATGGTTTGGAAAAGAGGTGACACTAGAGTGAGGGAGAGCAGATAGGAGGGGCTGTCGTGGGTGCCCACAGGTGCTCCAAAGGTGGTGAGGGTGAAGAGGTGACAGGCTGAGGAGATACTTAGGAGGAAGCTTGACAAGACTTGATGAATGATGAGACGAGAAGAAAAACCGCCTCAGAAATCAAACAGTATTAAAAACATGCATTTGGAAAATACAACCCACAGCCTCACTCCTCCCCTTCCTTTGTGTTCCCATCATCCTCTGAAATCCCCACATCTGCTGAATAACGGCAGAAGGGCCAGAGGCGCACGCGGTCAGACTTCTCTAATTGAGACACCACTAACTTGGAATCTGCAACAATTCACACAGACTGTCTGTGACTTCTACTGAGTAAGAATTTCAACCTACTTTCTTCCTCCGTGTCTTTTCAAGCCTTTAGGCACCAGTAACAGGAATCCAATCTAAAAGCAGTGGCTTCTTCCAATCAAGGCTTGAGGAGCAGTAGGCAGCCGCTTACATGGTGGTGTCTGAGAGGCACCCAATATGTGTCCCCCACCCAGGGACCACAAGGCCTGGGATCCAATCATTAGCGATTCATTCCTTTGCAAGAGGCTTTGGCCCCTCCAACTTCTCTTTTATAAGGCAATGACTCCTGAGATGGGTAGGACAGTTAGTCATTCTAAACCCAGCGGCATTGTGGTTGAGCATAATGCCTTTGCCTTTGACAGAAGAGGTCAAGGTAGTATAAGAGGGCTATGTAGGTACCTGTGGAGGAAGGTGATGCAGAAGGGAAGACTGGGGGATACGGAGTATAACATTATGATCTTGCCAAAGAATAGCCCCACAAGCACTCAAGCAACTAAGATTCTTAAGGAATGCCTTCCACTTCCAACGCGAGCAAATCACACTTGTACATTCTTGTACTTTAAGGAACTTTTGTGTTTTATGCTTATGAAATGCTATTTGCTAGTGACGGCCTATGGTGGCTCACAATCTTTTCAGGGACCTCGCACTACTTTCAACCAATTACAGTCTCCAGTGTTATTAATGCATATATATTACTACAGGTGCACTCTCCGAAACTATTTTACAAGTCCAAATTTTCATTCACTCAGACTGACCTTGTCTGCTGCCATTCCACATTATGGAGATTTAACTGTATTTGCAGAATGTTAATCAGTCAAGTCACAAGCCAGAGAAGATCAAGACTCAGACTCTGACCTTGAAGAGTCTCATCTCTGGCTCAAGAAGGTAAATAAGAGCTGCTTGTGAATACTTGATTACAGAGTTTAGAGCAGTGAACTAAAAAAAAAAAGAAAAGAAAAAGAAAGAAAGAAAGAAACAAAACTTTAAAAATTACTTACTTCACTTGTTTGGAGAATCATGAACTTTGGCAGTTTAGGCTTTGAACTGGCTGCACTGGGTTTTCCATCCAACAGTGATCCAAATGACAGATTCCCAAAGCTGTTCTCAAATTCAATGGAAGGTTTCAGTGTTGGAGGGATGTCCGGTGCCTGGTCCTGGCCATCCATGGGTCTGACATATGCGGTTGGTTTTTGTTGCCCCATGTTTGTTTTGCAGTAAAGCCCTGGTGGAAAGTTCTGAACTGAAAGGCCACTGCTGGGCGCTAACAAAGAGGAGGCAACTAGGGGAGACCCAGGAGCATGCAAGGTAAATTCAGATTCTTCTGATGAGACGGACTGAAAGATTTCTTTGAAAGTATCCCCTCCGCTGGACATGAGGCTACTGTCTTCCTTTACAGACGGGTTTGCCTCTTCAGTGGCTCCCACCTGAGGCTGTTCTGCTGGGTAGACAAAGAAGTCTTCCAATCGGGCTTGGGGCTGGTCCTGTGCAGGCTGCTGCATCTTGTTTGGCTGGCTACTGGCCTGGCTGGCTGGTACAAGGCTAGCATTATGACTATCTCGTGGCCAGTCAGCTTTTGATTTCCTGTTGCTGTGTATTAGAGTGGAATTCAGTATCACGACAGAAGGTGGAGGCATTGGTGCCGAGGGGTGAGTGTTATCCTGGTGAGGTGGGAGCATTCGATTCTTTTGCTCTGGGAAAAAGCTCGGCTCGTTTTTGTTGATGGGAGTCTGGGGCACAGAATTCTTTGGGATTCCCACTAGATGATTCTGATTAGAATGGTTAGTTAGCAAATCCTTCATTTCATCATAGTTTCCCAGCGTGTTCTGGACTCGGTTGGCAAGTGCATCCCCTTTGTTTGTCTAAAATAACAAAAAGATGGGGGTGGGAGGAGAGAGAATGAATAGGTTTGTGTTTCCTAATGTTAATGTTTCAAACAGATGTCCTAAGTAGACTAGCATATAGGGTTCTTTAAAATTCTCATGCTGCCATATAATTTCATACTTTTCATGTGCTATGTAAGAAAAAAAAATCAATAACACTATTGAAAGAGCCTCTTGGAATGAGCTGTGTGATTAACGTTTGTATACTCCCTGGCCTATCCTTAAACATACTCATTGGGAGAAAGTTTTAAATTACATCACTTAAGAATTTTATTAGCAAAATAACTTCTTTTAGGTCAGATGAGCTTAACTGTTACATTCCGTATCGTGAGGAACAACTTCAGCTTAGTGATCACTGGAATTGTAATGGAACATTCAACTTATATTTGTTCTTGACACGTCAGCCCTTTGTGCCACATTATACCATGAAAAAGGCTTAGCCCATTGGATAAGGAAGTCGGTGAAATTGTGCGATCATGAATATATTGGTTTAGAAAAGCTCAACATCTAATTGAGCTAACATGACTAAAGCGAATCTAATTCCTTTTAATCAAAGGCCTGTATAAATTACTAGTGTCTGCCTACATATTCTGGGGGCAACTGTGTTTACGTATTGATGATTCATACTTGTTTGCTTTGAAATGGTGCAATTGTTCGTCAACACTGACTCAAGCTCTCCTGTGTCTTCTCAATGATTCAGAAAAAATTTATTCAAGGACTTAAACTGCTGCTTACGTAAATCAAAACAAAGTCAGATTTCCAAAGTGATGTTGGCCACTAAATCATTCTGTGGGCAATCAACAGACCGGCTATATCTTCCCCTGTAGGAAATACCAATCTTGTTAAAATGGCTGTGGCTGTTCTTAAAATAATTAAGTTCCTGCATGGGTTTCTGTAATACAGAAAGCATGGCTATTAGAACTAGAAAATGGTGGCTAGCTATACACTTGGAAATGACTTTGACAAAAGCTCAGCTCTTCATCTCCGAGAGTGACTTTTTATGATTCCCTTTACCTGCCAAAGGTATTCTCAAAACAAGCTGTTGAATTCAGAAGGGCAAAGGACTTCTTTGTGCTTAGGCTGCACTACCCTGGCCCAAGATGTTGCGATGAAACAAGGCTACTGGTACCCGTGGGGCCATGTGGCAGCAGGACCACTGGATGGGGAAGACACCCACCCTATGTCGCCTCTGGTTCCCAGGGGCCACAGGCATGCCCTCCATGCATGGGAGGTGGTGACAACTTCCCCATGGATAAACCTCCACTGCGGTTAGATGTTTAACACCTCAGCTTTCTCACATGCCCTTAACACAGCCCCATCGCCTGGCATACACGGGGGGTGTACCTAGCCAAGCCTGGGATATCAGTCTAAACCTAGGTCGTATGGCTGTGTGCTGTTCTCTGTATGTGAGGATGGAAGAGTGTGCAGATGAATGGAGGGTGAAGTGCTGAAAATGGATGAAATCACCCAGAGAAAGAAAATGTAGAATGAGAAGGTCAGGCTCGGGAGGCATCCCTGGGGAACATCAACCTTTAAGCAACTGAGAGAAGAAGAGGAGCCAGCAAAGGACACGAAGAAGGAGCAACCAGAGAGGGAATCAAACTGGCAACCTTGGCCCCGTTGTTAACACGGTCTCCATAGACTGTATACAGTATCCAACTCATAGCATGTGTTAAATCATAGAAGACATTTCCAAAGAAAGGAGGGCAATTAGGGAAATACGATTCCAGAGATTAAGGGAAAGTATGCTAAATATATGCTAAAAGGGTTCTGTTGGGGAGGGGGAATTTTAGAGATCCAATAAATGTCCATTTTAGTTTTCTTATCCACAAGAACGTCTGATATTGCCTCACAGGCGACATTGGTGCTAAAGCAGTGATTAAACAATTAACATTCCATATAATCCTCAGCCGAATAATCGCTCTGTTTTCAGAAGTACATTTGAAAGGCATATTTAATAGATAGAGATGGGTAAAACTTATTTTTATTCCCTGAAAAATCCCTAGGTTTGTCCATTTGAATGGGTCTCCTTCGCTGGCGTTGTACAACAAACCATTTGGCCAGCAGCCAAACCCAGTCTCCCTTCTATTCAAACCCTAGATTCAAAGCAGAGATCGCATCATGCTAAGAGCCCAGTATGAACTTGATGCAAGCTTTAAATACTTGCAAAGTTGTTCTGGCCCCTCCAACAGTTTACCTCTTGGATCAGATGATTGCTTAATGAACACTCATACCTGCCGGTCTTCAAATATCTGAACTCTTTATCTTCATTTCCCATTTCAAATGCCTTTATTTTACATTGTCTCATTTTAATGAATTTGGATATTCCTCCTTCCCTTAGACAAAGAGAATTCTATAAGCTAAGCGCTTTCCCTTTTTGCCTTAGCTACCAGGAAGCTCAGCGTTCAACTTACTGGACTTTCAGTGAAAGTTCATTGAATTTCCACTGAAACTGAGCTCTACAGAATCAGACCTTGACTTGTGATTATCACACAATACCTCCCAGCCCCTGAGAAGTAATTCACTCTCTCTGGGCCAACACAGTCCAGTCTCAAGAAACTTAAAACTCATTTGCTTGCAAGCAAGCTAGTTGAGCAGTAAATAAAGAGGACACACTCATCTTTTCTTCAATGGAGAGAACCTTGCTTAAGTTTTAATGTGTCATTATCTACTTCTACTGTAATAATGATCTGGGTTTCCAATGCATGCTAAGATTTTTTCCCCATCTCTAGGTTTTGAAATTAGGAGACCTTCTAAACTGGCCAATGTCTAACATTGTATCTACATAAATAAAAGCAGAGAAAAATTAAAAGTTTTCTCAATAGGTCCAGAAGATCAACCTTCCACCATACAGGGTATACTACAGTAATGATTTCTTTTCCTGCATAAAACTATGAGCTCTTAAACATCAGAGACCACCTTTTGTTTGCCTTTATATCCTTAAGACTTAGCACCATGTCAGATGCATATCAGGTACTCAAAAAATTGTTGCTAACATGAACAGAATCAAATTATAATCAATACCCTACCTATATCAAAATAAAGGATTTGAAATAGCTAGGAGTAAAAGGTACATCAACAGAAAAGCAAAAAACAGGCTACCCTGGTTACCATGATTGAACAGTAAATTGAACTTTGAGTTTCCTGGTAGCTAAGGCAAAAAGGAAAAGCTCCCAGACTATAGAATTCTCTTTGTCAGATGGAAGGAAGCAGAAAATATCCTAATTTATTAAGTAAGACAAATGGTTCTCAGATACTAAAATGTAATTAGGAATTCTCATTGGTTCAGTTACAAGAACCTCTGAACAATAAAACCATTTTTTCAGCCCCGAATTCACAGAAGATGCAAAGATGATCTTCACATGGTTTTTTCTTACGATGACTAAAAGCAAGAGTGTTACATTAAAGTGTAACTCAGTGAAGGCATATCTATATGCGGAGGTAGGGGGCTAGGCTAATAGCTCCAGTTTCCTGTGCACAAATGACCTAGGGGCGGAGCTGGAGGAATGAAGGGATGTCCACTCCCTTAGACTAGCTACCTCACAGCGCAATTGTCTCAGAGGGACTCATGAGCAGAACTGCACACCAGACAGTTCGAGGTTGAGTTCACTGGCGACACTTTCTGAGTTGCTGATTGAAGGATGAAGATCCACGTGCTTTGTAAACAGACGTGCTGTGGCTACAGGTAGGAATTACCATGGTCGTGCTTGAGACACATACTGGTAAATTCAAAACAGTCATGAGGCAGGGTTAGGCACAGAGGACACACAGACACATAGCCTCAAAAAGTCCACCATTGAACAATCTCCAAATAATTACCAGTACAGTCCAGGTCACCTGAGTTGCCTCTCTGCCTCTCCACCACCAGAGCTGGGTAATTGTCAACCAGCTTTCAAATTTCTTAAGATGTAGGTATGAGAGCCACTGGATAGAAAACCCAATGGGGCCTGAAATACATTTATGCACACCTACACGGTGCACTCTCATTATACACCACAGCAACTTGTGATTCACGCTGCATGTTCTGTTTCACCCTCCAGAGTCTTAGTAATCCTATTAAGGTCCAAGGTATCCTTGGCAGTCTTGATTGGACATTATAAACGTGGTAAAGATGATAGTTAGCCATTTCAATCAATTACAGGCTTCTTTCAAAAGGCCGACTCTTTACTTCCCATTCTAGATAATTCGTTGATTCTTAAAGGTAACCTCTGCAGCTATTACTTTCTAAGTAATCACAATTTCTCCATCATCAAGGAAATGCATTTTCCAAGTATTTTCAGGCATAAATTACACGTCTGGTTTGTGGCTCACGACTAACAGCACTCCTCCATTTAAGCTTTTTGTCTCTCATTACTTTAGGAAATGCAAAGTTGCCTCAGTTTGCTTCTAATGCTATCTACAAATCAGTAGTAGAAGTTCATTGCAAGACTAATGTGCTAGGAGGCTATTGTACCCTGGTATTTCTCCTTAATAAAAGTAGCAAAATAATTTAAGTTTGGGGGCTCATTTTTTCCTTTTATTTCATTGTGGCTAATGTATGCGATTTAGTAATTCCTTTTTTTCTAATTGTAATAGTTTTACAGTTAATCTCTCTAAGCTGTAAGTCCTTGTTTCTTTCTTTAATTATAATAACGATAGTATCTTGAACTTGAACAGCACTTGTCAGATTTCAAAGCAAGGTCTCCCGGCTCGTTTGACTTGATCCTTACAACAACCACATGAGTCAACGGAGCAGCTCTGATCTGAGTCTGCCTTCTATCTCCCCAACCCAAATGACCTTGGGTAAGCCACTTAATCTCTCTGTGCCTTGCTTTCCTCATTCTTGCAGAGCTGCAAAGAGCTATAAATTGTTAGTTGTTGTTGCTTTATCATCATTATTATTATCAGGGATTTTTTAATATCAGGTATCCTTATTTGCTTCAGGAGGAGGAAACTTTAGGTCAGAGGAATGAAGTTTCTTCACCAAAGTAACACAGGAAGTAAGCTTATCAGGTCTTCTGACCTCCTATGGGAGGATAAACAGCTTCCTATGACACATACTGAACCACACAGAACTGGCTCTAGATTCACCACTTACATGGATATGAGGCTGCAGAGAAGCCACCTCACCTCTCTGAGTCTCAAATTCCTCTCTGAGTCTCGAATTCCTCATGGGCAACATGAGGAAATGAGTACTCTGGCTGTCGTAAGGACTAAACAGGCACATGTAAAGCCCTCACATGTGCCTCACGTTCGGCAGGCACTTGACACACGCCAGGTCCTCATCCCACCCAGTCTTTCCACACTAACCTGACACGGCAAAGAGCTTCACAGTTTTGAAGTGCTTTTGAAGACATCCTTCTCAACACCACAGCACAAAGTCAGATTTGAAAGTTATGAACGAAAAAAGCAGCCACACAGAGAAGCTACCCATCATCAACCAAATCTAGGGGTGGTCAACATTCTTCCCATTCTGGGAATGGTAGAGGTGAAACAAAGACCGGAGAGAAATCAGCCAGGCTGATAAGAGATCACCATTTCTTCTAACTGCCAAGAAAGGGCAGTGGGTCTTTGGGACCGAGACTCATTGGCTACTTTATGAACTACCAACACTATTGGACAACTGATCAAGCCATGTTTTAGGCTTCAAGACGGCGATGGCAAGAAGTTTCCTGAAAGTTCTGATCCACCACCAGGAGCTTTGATTTTTAATTTGATAAGCATTCCCACCACAACCCTCAGGAAGGGTTATGGTATGTCCTTGTGTCTACCAGTGGACCATGGGCCAGGTCTAAAACTCTCATGGCCACTGGCATGTGCACATACTCCAAGGGTGTCCATGCTAGTTCAGGCCTGGGGAGTTTATGGGTGTGCACACCAGTTCTACTATCATAATATGAGAGAAAAGGAAAGGTATACTCCTCAGGGATCTCCCAGGGAACCCTGAACATGGACACAGCACAAGATGGCAGCTGATTATCAAAGCGATGGTGGAAGAAAGAATTACTAGGTCATCAACCAATAGCTTCATTCTTTTTCTATACAGTCTTGATTGAAGAACAAAAGCTCTTCCTGACCAAGAAGCATAAAGGCAATAGGCTACTAATCACATAATAGGCCTGGCCCTGGGCTACACTAATGCTCCCATCTAGTGTCCCTGCCTGATATACCCCTGTCATAGCAAGACAGGTGACTTTTGAAAACTTCTGACAATGTTGATAACAGGTTTTTTAACTGCCTACTCAAAAATACACTGCTTACATCTAAAAATAAACATGCATCTGTATTACAGGCCTTGTTAACAAGAGATGGCATTTACCTTAAAGATACAAGACCATTAATTCAACAAGACTTAAAATTATAAAGAGGGAAGGATAAGGCAAGGGTCCTATGCCTCATAATAGCGTTGAGTATAGAGTAGATTTTGAACTTTAAGCATGAATCTTTGAGTAAAGCTCATTTTTCTAACTCATCCGAAGATAAGACAAAACTCATCTGGTTATTCCTCTTTCTTAAGAAGGGACAAGGCATCTATCATCCTTGACCTCTCTTCCATTTTCTGGGAAAAAAAGGAGGCCACAACATCTTGTCCTTCCCCCGGGCTTTCTTCCACTCTCTTGCTTTGCTCTCTTCCTAATATTCCTTCTCACTCTTCCTCGCCATGGCTGGTCACCCTTTACACACTCTTGATTTTGCCTATGCGCATCTCCTCTGTCCCACCCATCATCACCTCATCCTCTGATACCTTCACCCTCTCCCTCTTTATGGACATCAGGTCTTCCCATCAATCTCTCAATGTGTTCATATTTCTCTCACTGCTAAAAACAAAGCCACTTTCTTTCCATATAATTCCTTCCCTTATATTCTGACTTACCTTCCTTTCTTCCTCCCTCCACACAAAATCTCTCTGCTTTTCTTCATTTTACCACTTCCCATTTACTCCCCAGCTCAGGCAATTTGGCTTACCCACAAGTGAGCACCACTGTCAACAATTAAACAACTCTCCCTTAAAGTCACTGAACTCCTCCCCCTTAACTACCAAGAGCCACTTTCCAGTCCTGACCTTTCCTGGCCACTCAGATACAAATAAACAACTAGTCCTTCCTCCATAAAACCCTGTATCCCTTTGATTTCTATTAAATGATTCTCTCCTCATTCTCTTCCTACCTCTGTGATCATTCACTCCTTTTTTAGGTTCCTTTCCTGGCCTCTACTTTGCCACCTTGTTTACTGCTTAAATGCTGCTGCTCCCCAAGATTCTCCCTTTGTCCCTCTTACCTAGTCATTTGACAGCTTCCACCACCCCCTGCCTGCTAACACCAAACTCTCTCTCTCGACCCCTCTCATTAGCTCCAGATCCCTCCATCCAATGCCTACTGGATCTCTCTCCCTTTGTATCCCACTGGCAGCAACCTGTTCCCTCCTCAACAGCCTGTTAATGAGACTGCCATCTTTTCAAGTCAAAAATATGGGCATCATTCATTCCTGTCCCCACACTTCACACATCCACCCAGGCACCCAGTCTCAAAATTTCAACCTTCTTGCTCTGCCTTAAATCCTGCCTGCCATTAACTCCCCTTAGCTGACTACAAAGGCCTCTTCATCTGCCTCTAGTTTCCTTACCTCCAACCCACTCTCCATGCTTCCACCATTGCCTTTAAAATACTTTGTCTGTCTTGGACATGCCCTTACTTAAAAGCTCTCAGTGACTTCTGTTCATGTGCAGAATTATGTCCAAACTCCTTGGCACAAGGCACAAATGTCCACTAACCTGTCCCTGGCCTATCTCTGTAGCAGTTACCATCATGCCTTCACTCACCATGATGATGTCTGCCACTGGGCAAGGAAGTCCTTGAGGGCAGAGACTAGGTCTTGTTCCTCGTTGTACATTAGTCTAAGATGTGACTAGCACATAGTGGGCCTTCAACAAATGTTTGCTAAACCAGTCATATTCCTAAATATATGCACGCAAAGGCACTATATACATTAAATAAATAGAGATAGGAAAAGTGCTTTTTGAAGGATTGTACTATTATTGACAGAGTGCAAAGTAGTAGGTTAGGTGACCTAACTCTCTTGGCCAGACTCACCAAACGTGGAAGACACCTGAGCCTCAGTCAAGAGGTGCCTACTTATCATGAACAAGACAGCAACGCTCTGGTCTCACTGGTCACTGATCCAAACAGCTTACTCTCTACCCCAAAGTGGTATCTGTGCCTATGCTGTCCTTCCCTTTTCCAGAAGTCATTGTCTTCTAATTGGTGCCCTTCGAAAATCACAACTCCCCAAAATTTTCTCTATTGTTGTTTTAACTCTTATATCATTCTTGTTTCATTACAGAAAATTACACTGCTACTAAATCGCAGTAAACACCAACCAGCTGCCAGCAATTCCACAAGATTCTTCCCCCAAACCCCACCCCAAAGAGAAAGTTCGGAGGCAGTCATTGTGAAATCAATACTTGTAGACATAGCAGTATGAGTGTTACTGGAGTTACAAACGAGCTAGAATACCACCAGAATGTCAACCCGGCTACACCACCCCCTCTGGTTGAGACAATCTCTTAATCCGGGGTTGCTAACCACCAGGAAAAAATTATTGGCTTTTCCCTTTCTCCTTGAACAATGATTTTCAAAGAGCACTCAAGCCACTCAATGGCCACTAACAACAGAAAATGGAAAAGGAAAGCAGTGGCCTTGCTTGCGATGCATGGCATTGATGGGGAGGAGAAAGAGACATAGCTGTTAACATTCTGATGAAGGCTTCAGGGGCTGCCTTGCTGTAGGAAGTGCTGGGCGGGAGAGAACTCCTTGGGGACGGGAAGTCTCACCAGTTCCTCTCAAATCTGACCGTACTCCCCAAAGCAGACAGAGTTTGTCTCTGAAGGCTTCCTCAGAAACCTGCGATTGCTCCCAATACAGCATAGGTATATATTTCATTTGTAAAATATACTCTCCTGGAAATGATTCGGGTGCTTTAAAAATAGATTAATGTTGATTAGTGTGTTCAAAAATGTAACAAGCAAGCATTTTCCAGAAAGATAAATTACATACATATTCAGCTACCTTGTAGGGCTCCCCAAAAAGATCAAAGCCTGAAGAAAAGAGATCGTCTTCTTGCTGGACTTCTTGATTCCTCCGCTCCCATTCCCTTTTTTTAAGGGCACTACGGTCTTGTTCATAGTGACTGATATGAAAAGAAAAAGACAAAAGGAGAAAAAGAGTAATTAGTCATGTAAGTCATTCACACCTCTCTTGTTATCAATAAGAAGAAACACAATGCAAGCCAAGGCTCCCCAAACGGATACCATATACAGAGCAGAGAAACCTTTTCTTGACCCCAGTGGGTTTAAGATCCTGGCCAGTTCTTTGGAATACGGAAGAAAATGGAAACTTGCTTATTACAAATCATACTCATGCTCACTTGAGCTTTGTGGAATCTTCTTCCCTTGTCCTTGTGTGAATGCTACCGGCAATTAGAGGCTCCCCAAGAGTCAATCCACTGTACAGAAAGGTACTGAATTCAAGTTGCTTTGTGTCACCAATGGCTTAAGGCTAAGAATGCACAGATATTACAAAGTCCTAAGGGAAAGGAATTAGCCAATATGTCACAAACAAACCATAATTCTGTCCTGAGCCCATGGCCAGAGTTAGCCTGTTGTAACGAGATCACAGGAGAGTTGAAGGACATTTTGGGAAGTCTACACAACACCGAATCATTCATTCACTCATACTCTGTCTCGCACTGGGGGTGTTGTTTCAGCCGTCTCATAGTTTGTGTCATAGGTGATAGCCTTTTAAGGAAACTCTTCACAAAGAAAGGTGTCTGGCTTGAACGGCAAACCACTAACAATTAAAGCAAGTGATTAAGAGCCTTGAATGACATTACGGCACACATTCTAGAAACACGGTATAGTTGTGACTCGTTGCATTTCAGGCCTTCCCATCAGAGGTTCAGTATAAAAGCTTCCAGACAATACCTAAGATACTCCAGGCCCTTAAATTTTATAGAATGAAATGCTTCCTGCTGAAGAAAACATCTGTCTTCTTCATCAGGCAAGAATGTGCATGTTAAACTATATAATCTGGAGGCACCTGGGTGGCTCGGTCGGTTAAATGTCTGACTCGTGGTTTCGGTTCAGGTCGTGATATCATGGTCATGAGATCAAGCTCTGCACCAGGTTTTGCGCTGGGCATGGAGCCTGCTTAAGATTCTCTCTCTCCCTCAGCCCTTCACCCATATGTGTGGACTTGCATGCATGCGCTTTCTTAAAATAAATAAATAAACAAAGAAACAAAGAAACTATAATCTGGAAGTCTCAAAAGTGGTAGATTCTTTTTGTCCATTGGATTTCCCCATCCCCTGATTTTGACTGAAAACTTTCTCAAAGTGACCACATACATGCTGAGCAAATTTAAATTATATGAACGTACGTAAAATGCCTAACAGGTGCTGTACAAATGTTGCTTTCCTTCCCCATGTTAATACCGCCATGTTGAGCCTTAATTAGATAATCGGCATGCAAATGAACATAATAGCTAAAGGAATTACAAGAGATACACTGATCTAAGAGCACAGTCGACAGGTTTTGAATACATCCCAAACCTTAATGCCTATCATTGGTAGCCTAGTTTGCTCATGAGTATCATAACTTTTAATTTACAAAATAAGAGCCCAGAGCATGAAATATCCATGGCAGCTTAACTAGATATTGATATACATGGAGTGTGAGATGCACTACACTTAATCATCCACCTTTCTCCACAGGAATCCTTGAACTGACAAATTCAAAGTGACTTTGATAGCCTTATCTTCTGAATCAACAACACTTCATTTCTCTGATTTAAAAAAGTGGCAACATTTAAAGGATGTTCAAACATACATTATGCTTTCACAATACAAACAATGCCAGATAGAGAGGAGCCCGCTGGGCCAGTCACAAGAGTGCTCAGCAAACGTTATCACTGTCTGGGAAAAAAACAGAGAACCTCCAGACTGCATCACAAAGCCCAGACCCCATGTCTGGGCCCTGTCCGGTCAAGAAAGGTACCAAGTCCAGATATTGGAAGGCAGCCTGTCTTTCGTAATCTCAGACACCGTCCACGGGTACTACACTCACTGGCATCAGCTCTCATTCCCATTCACTAGTTGAGATCAGAACCCCAAATGGTTACCAGGGGTTGCAAGGCCTTTGTGTGGGAGGCTGACGTAGGATCAAGCAGACATGGCAACAACTTCACACCATGCACACGGAGCCCGAGATTCGACCTCAGCCCCATCCGCTGGCTGTTCATAAGCGAAGCCCATCATCCGTGTGTCAAAATGAAAGAAAGAGAGGGTGTCAGGCATTGGAGGTGGACGAGCAAGTTAAAGCGGCATTTAGTTGGGGTGGGGAGGAAGGTCTGTTGCAAAGGAAGACGCTTCATTTCCTTGCCCTTCCACGGCACATGACTCTGCACACGAAAACAAGGGCCCGAATCTCAGGCTTCTGAGGAACGCAAGCAAGATGTCAGTTCTCTAGCTCTCCATTCATTCTGCACACCTGACAGCCCAGAATGACAGGCCCATAGATCGCATTTAATTCTCCCATGAAGAGAGCCGAGGCACTTTGGTCTCTTGGCTTTGCAAACCACCTTCCTTCTCCTCTGAGGGAAAGATATAATTAAAACCCTGAAGGAAAAGAAGGAGAAAGAGAAGAAAAGGAAACAGCACTCTGACTTGCATGACAACTCTTCAAGCGGCCAGCAGCCAGGGCACTTTGGGCGCTTTCGACCTGGGTTTGATTTCTTAGGAGGCTCTTGGCTTCATTTTGCAGCAGTTCATTAGCTACCAAATTCCAGACGAAAACGTGAATAGCAGATTGAGTGTGCACACGGGTGTTATCTGTTGCAAGGAAACTGCCTGCTGCATTTTTTAACACATATAACAAAGAACAGTTAATTCTCATATCTCTGGCGAGAATGAATTTAATCTCCACAGAGTTCCCCTGCTCTTGGAAGGCAACCAAAATCTCTCCAACTTGTTCCTCTTTCGCTCAGCATGGCGTTGCATTGAAAGCTTCACATGGCGAGGTCTAATGAGGAACGAACTACGTAGTGATGAGGCTTTCACAGTGGAGAACGTCACCGATTTCTGACTGAAACCAAAATTACTAATTTGAAGCACCAGCTAATTAAAACCACCGCTATGTATTTAGCCTCTTGTTATACCTACTGCAGTTTATAATTATGAGGACCTCTTTATCTACTCAATTAAAGTCCTTCTGATTCAGGCAGGTTGTGTTTGAACATGTGAGCCTTGCAGAGGCCCCAGGAAAGCCTATGTCTGTCCCCTGATGATTGGATGTACCGTCACTCTCCCAGGCTTGTTGCTCAAAGGAAAGAAGGGCTCTACAGCCCATGAAGAAATGCTCAAGCCAGAAATTGGGATCAATCACCATATGATTGGTCTGAACAATTCCAATTTAGTCAGTGATGAGGACAGGGTGAATGGGTCCTATTGCCTATGGGAGGGTTGAGCCAAAACTCCTCTCCAGACCTCTCCCTCATAGCAAGTTATATGATGCTATTCCAACTTGTCACTCCCAGGGATGAAATTTTGTCACATTATGGTGACATCAAGACCACCGAAAGAACACCCACAACTCAATTTAGTCTTAATTATCCAAAGGCCTCTGATTTCCCTCTCTAGAGCCTATCTCTCTTTTGGAATCCATGAAAGGTGTGATAGTGAGAAGCTTCTCTCTAGAATGGGGCTTTTCTGTTAGCTCTGCTCTGGCCCACCTGTCTCTTCCCCTGGCCTCAATAACAGAGAAATGAACCTCCTTAACATAGGAGGAAGCTAAAGTCCTCCTGAGAAGGCGGGGGGGGGGGGAGCGCGGGAGGGTCCTGCCAAGCCCTCATCCAGGTAAAGGCAAAGGAAGATGTGAATCTGTGTCTCTTCCATTTTCAGGTTCAAGTGATTTCTTCTCATCTTCTCCTTCTCTCTCAGATACTCTCTTATCCTTGCACTTAAACCCGATCATGTACACAGGTAGCTCCCATTTTCATCACTAGAAGCCACAGGTGCACTCCGAGGATGATAAAACCCAGAGCACATGTAGATTCACTGAGATCAAGAAAGTTCAATTATGCCATCTTCATTAGCTCACAGTGGTAGCACACTTGGGCTGACGACGCAGGCTAGTCTTTTAGAACAAAGGCTGTCAGAGCACGAAGACTATAGCAATCATACAGTCCTGGTCTCTTCATTTTACAGATGAGGAAATTGAGCTCAGGGAGGTAATGGGCCTCACAGCAGGTTTGTGGTGGCTCCGGGAGGCAAGAACCAGGTTTTCCAGTGCCCAAACTAGTCTCTTCCTAATGTCCCAAGCTCTGTCCCTTCTGCCGCCCAGGATTCCTTCACACTCAAGAATAAATATCTGTCCCATCTGCACTCTGTGGGTCAACTTTCCTTAGGATTGTATTTGATTAGAAATTGCCAGTAGGAAAAAACTTTAGGAATTTAATTTGGACTCGAGTATAGAAAACCCATTAGTTTCCTTATACCAAACGTAGAAACCCTAAAGGGATTGTAAAAATTAACTACATCTGTGGGGAGAAGCTGAGTGGGGGGAGAGTAAAACCAGTTGAAGTCCATTTGCTTTGTGTATTTCACGAAGTTTGAAAATCATCCTTTACCTAATCCGGTTATTTTACAAAGTTAGTTGAGGAAACATTGATTAAAAAAAAAACCCACAAATATCTTTAAATGACGAGCTTGTTTAAAAACGCTGCTAACTAATATAGGATTTACTCATTCTCTAATTCACTGGCATTAAAATACCTTTATTTTGGCTAATATCTTTATAAAGGCATAAAAAATACATATTTAATTCACCCAAGGGACAAACATAAGTTATAACTCACTCCTTATGGTTCTCCTGAATGAATCTCTGCCTTCTATAAAATTTGTATTTATACTCACTACATGTTCCAGAGTTCCAAGTGGTGCTTTTTCTTCAGTAGCTAGTCCTATTTTGAATTTGACATTGACCTAATCTTTGCATAGCTTGTTAGTTTAAAAAAGGGAAATACAAATCAAAACCACACTGAGATACCACCTCACACCAGTCAGAGTGGCTAAAATGAGCAAATCAGAGGACTCTAGATGCTGGCGAGGATGTGGGGAAACGGGCACCCTCCTACACTGTTGGTGGGAATGTCAACTGGTGCAGCCCCTCTGGAAAACAGTGTGGAGGTTCCTCAAACAGTTAACAATAGAACTCCCCTAGGACCCAGCAATAGCACTGCTAGGAATTTGCCCAAGGGATACAGGAGTGCTGATGCGTAGGGGCACATGGACCCCAGTGCTCACAGCAGCACTCTCAACAATAGCTAAAACATGGAAAGAGCCTAAGTGTCCATCAACGGACGAATGGATCAAGAAGATGTGGTTTATCTGTACCATGGAATACGACATGGCAATGAGAAACAATGAAATCTGGCCATGTGTAGCAACATGGATGGACCTTGAGGGTGTTATGCTGAGCGAAATAAGTCAGGCAGAGAAGGACAGATACCATATGTTTGCAAGTATAGGAGGATTAGGAGGAACTTAACGGAGGACCATGGGGGAGAAGAAGGGGGGAAATGGGGGGCAGAGGGAGGGAGGCAAACCACGAGAGACTCTTGAATGTTGAGAACAAACTAAGGACTGATGGGTATGGGGGGGATGGGGAGGAGAGTGATGGGCATGGAGAAGGGCACTTGTGGGGATGAGCACTAGGTGTT